GGCCATCTGGTATATTTATACCACTCTGATTTTCACACACAGACACACACACCCCACCACCACCACCACCACCACCTTTATAAAAGCTCTATAGGCTGCTGATCCACTTCCAGACACAATTCAAAGCACAGGACTTATAAAGCCTAAAAAACTGGATCCTCATTGGAGTTTTGTTTGCGGCTTCATCTGCTGTCTGTAGTTTGTGTGACTGTGATTCTTCTAGGTTGGAGTGAATGTTTATTTGTCCAGCACTAACCAATTGTTCCTTTCAGACTTTGTATTCAAAGAGCTATACCTCTCTGCTGAGAACTCTTTCCCTCTTTCTCCTGAGTTGGTGGCAGTTGTTTGTTTCCTGTTTAACTGTTCAGTTGGTTGCTAAGTATGTGTGCAGTAAAGAAAGCTGTATACTCAGGTCTGTAACTGTAGGTAAGGGAATGTTTTGTAATCCTTCTCTTACAAATGTCTCAGAGTGAGTTACTGAGACTTAAAGTTCCAGTTAATGAAAAACAAAGGTGGACTGTGGGGGACCTGGTAGCTTATACTATTGTGTCGCAAAAGGAATTTTGTCAGAAATTCAAAACCCTGCAACAGGATCAACCTTACAGCAACAGCTATTGAAACAAAAGTTAATATTGCAACACCTATAGTCATGGCTTTTGTATCCTGGGTAATTATGATCTCATACTTCACGCCAGTCATGAAGTCACTCACCTGTGACGACCCCTCTTCAGTGATGTACAGAAGCTACCAACCAAAGCAGGTTGGGAAGGCCAAGTCATCCAACTGATTGTGCTAAACCAGAATATATCCACACCTTCGATGTAAATGATGAACAACAAATGTAGCCAGAAAAAGACTGTAATACTCTCACATATTGTAATACTCTCACATATTGAGAGAAATTGGGGGGTGGGGTGGGGAATTCTGCACATTGTTATCTGAAAAAAGTAACTTTTCTGAATCTGGGCAGAAAGCAGGTTGTCTGATCTGGTCTACAGAATACTAAATGAAAAATGATTATGTGGAGATGTGTTATAGAAAGCAGAAAATTAAAAAAATGAAAATGATCTTAAAGTGTCATAGTATTGCCGTACACCTAGGCTGTTTCACCCTCGTAAGATGTTAACTAAGAGCAGAGCTGCTGTATTGAAAGTACCCAGTTCTAACCTCCACTAAACTGTATGGAGGCAGGCTCCAATTGAATTCACGTTCACATCCCCATGCACCCTCTGCAAATTGCACAGATCCTTGGGATTCTCACATTACAACAGGGTGCTTTTCTTACAATTCAAAGAAGAAACTGTTGGAGTCGTTACAACCTTGCATGCTGTTTGTGATTTGTGTGGCTGGAAGGGACCTTTCTGGGATGGATGATTGTCCATTTATCCAACACTAACCAATCATTCCTCTGAATTCAAAGAGAGTCCCTCCTCTCTGAAGAGTGCTTTCCCCCTCTCTTTAGTCTGTTGGAAGCACTGTTGTTTGTTGGTTTGCTGTTGATCTGTTCAGAACTGTAAGCAATGAGTTATTGAGACCTTGTGCCAGTTAATGAGAAAGGGGTTGAATATCTGGGGAACTTGGAGCTATCCCCCACCCCCCGTGAATCTTTGTACTTCTCCTGCATAGAAAATGGAAATTTGCCAGAAATTCAAAACTCTGTAACAGTGGGAACAGCATAAACATAGAGAGGGCTGCTCTGACTCCTTCTGTTTGGGGCTTTCACTCCCATAATTCTGCTGGGGGGAGGGGTTCTAGCAAATTATGTGAGTAGAAATGCCATCCTAAAGCTTACCTGCTAGTGACCTTTGTAATTCATTACCCACCGATTAATTCCTCTTTAAGTCACTGCCATCTTCTTCAGGGATATAGTTACTTATTTATTCTCCTTTGTCTGCAGTGAATGGCCAACCATGAGGTCATCTGCGTGATGACCATCAGCGTATCTACAGACATGGAAGCCAGCTCTAGATGCAAGCATAAAGAGACATGTGGAAAACCAACTCTCCTCAAGCCCAGGTTTGTCCTCTTTCAGCTTGAATGGATTTCTCATAACAATAAACATAGTTATTGGGGTTTTTATTTCTCTTACCATAAGGATCCTGAGTAATTACTCACAGTGCATAGTCATTAGCTTGCCTTACCAGCTTGCTGCACTCTGATAACATAATTACCACATGTTCTTACATGAGAGAAATTCATAGCTCACATACCTTGCCTACTCTGTAATTTCTGATTTGTTCCAACTTACCCAAGGAGGGGGGAATGTTTAGACAAAGATCAAGTCATCTAGTGTCTGTGACTATTGCCTTCTGTTTGACTAAATGTTTAAGCAAGCAAAATATTCTGCAGTCTGTTATTTGGGTTTCTGGGTTCCTTCATTATTACAAGGCCTTTCCCAAAGTGAAGTTCAGCCAAGCTGAATTGTTCCAGCTTGGTGGATAATGCATCTTGATGAAAAGACATGCTGAAAGCACAGCAGTTGGTGTAATGGTCTAGAAATACTGACTCCAAATGACTAACTGGATCTCTGGAAGAGCTGAAGCTGAGAAAGGCATTGATTTTCATTCTCCAGTTCAGAATCACACATGAACACATAATGAGCATGCAGTGACTTAACAGCTGCTCTTGAAAAACTATGAACAGAAAGACAGTGAGAGAATGGAAACACACACAGTTTAGCCTAGAATCCTTACCACTGTCTAGTCTGGAGCCCATGCTATACCCTGGCCTAGACCACGGGTGTAAATTTATAGAAGCATATCTTACCAATTGAAATTGTTATATTTATTTATTTAAAATACTTTTACCCCACCTTTTCCTTAAAAAAAAAAAACCAAGGTGGATTACATCATTAAACAACAATATTTAAAAGCTAAAAACAGTAATTAAAATAAATCAAACAAATGCCACATTAAAATGGTAAACAAAATGAACACCAAAAATACGTTCAGGGCAAAAAGGTTTCATTTAAAAACCTGTCTCAGACAGCCAATCACTAAGGGAAAGCCTATTTGAAGAGAAAGGTCCTCATCTGCATGAGGAAGGACAGGAAAGATAGGATCAGCCTACCCTCTAGTGGGAGGGAGTTCCATAGTCTGGGAGCAGCGACAGAGAAGGCCCTGTCCTGTGTTGCCACCAAACACACCTCAGAAGGTGGTGGGACTGAGAGCAAGGCTTCCCCTAATGATTGTAACATCTGGGCAGGCTCATAAAGGGAGATGTGGCCCTTGAGATACATAGCTTGGACCCAAGCTGCTTCTGGGTGTTGAGTATCCCCAGGGATATCACCAGGCAGGCAGGAACACCTTCTGAAAGGGGTGGGCACCTAACCCCCAAACTGGGGACACCCTCCTGTCTAGTCATGTGCTATCTGTGCAGGTGACTGTCGGTTATCTACACATCTGCCACAGCTGCAAAGAAGCATCTTAATATAGCAAGGTAGTGTTAACAGCTATAGTGGAAAGATAATCTCTGTTGCACACTGTTGAATTTATATTTCTCTTCTTAGGATAGTCTGCTATCCTGTAGTGGTGCCCTTGCATCAAGCTGAACTCTCAGTGCAGCCTTTGTCTATGCAGCCAGTGTAAAGCAGAGACTTACAAAATCACTTCACGCCACAGAGATTTTTTATTTTTTTAAAAAATCAGTTCTTTTTTTCCCTGAGCAAATGAGCACAGAACTTGTAATGGCTTCTTTTTTAAATCAATGTGTCAACTCCTATGGGCCCAAATGTAATGTAAAAGTTCCAGTTACATTCTGTGATCAGCCTGGATAACTTTCTTCCCTTCCCAAAGGAATCCTGGTTATTCTCTGTTATTTTGCATTTATGGCAAACGTGAAAGTGACATATATATTTTCTGTTAGAGTCTAATAGAAATAATGGGCTCTTTGTCAACTTTCGATAGATTTCTGATATTTTTTTTAAACAGGAGCTGAAGAAATGTCAGCAAGCAAGGGAGCATAAAGGAAAACATAAAATCCCATGGGCCTACTTCACAATGAAGATTGTATACAGTCAAAGTGGCATGACAAACTCCCTCCATTATTACCCTCATTTGGGACGAAGTTTTACATCGGAGAAGAGTGTTTCAGTAGAAGCCTTACTGGTTAGGGATCAGGGAAGTCAAAGACATTTAAAGAGCGCCAGGTTGGGAAAATGTTCTTCTTTCTTTATTGAAGTTACTTATGGGGATAAAGATGGCACATGAATAAAATAAATATTAAATAAATAAACTGGTAGTGGTATGAAATTGAGCTGAGCTCTCTAGATGAAGGCCAGACGTCTTCCTAGACGGTCCCTTTGCCAGCTGAACGACATAGGCTCCACAGAAGCTGGTCTGCCAAAGGAAAGCAGATATCCTTGAGAGATCTCACACCTTTGCAAATTAATTCCAATTAAGACTGCAGTTGTATGCACTGAGAAAGCATCTCAAGGACCATAGGAATAAGCAGATCCCTGCCTTCCGAGGTCTTCAAAACAACTCTGACATCAGAAGGGAGGAATTCTCTTGTTTTTCCCCGGCTATAGCAGGGCTTTCACCATCCAGGTCTTTGGTTGCAACTAAATGATCCATTTATCCTGGCTTGGATACATCTAGATAAGTGGTTCCCAACCTTGGGTCCCCAGATATTCTTGGACTACAACTCCCAGAAATCTAAGCCAGCACAACTAGTGGTAAGAGCTTTACTTCAAGAACATCTTGGGACCCAAGATTGGGAACAACTGATCTAGATATTGCTAAACATGGTCACTTGGAGGTGTCATTTGGGACAATCCTTGCATCCTCAGTCAAGGATCAAGCACACCACCCTTCAAGCAACCCAATCTTCTTTTCCTTTAAAATACAAAGAAAAACAAACAAACCCCCCCCCACATCTCCTCTTCTGTGCTTTGCTTAAGCTGCATAACAATATTGAGAAATGAAAAACTCTCTTCCAGGGAGGAGAAAAATAGGACCTTTTCCATTTCTTTTTAATTGTTGCTAACCAATAGAGCACATTAGCAAAGGGTTTTTTACAAGGCCCCTTGAAAGCACTGCTGATACATTAGTAGCAATTAAAAAGAAAATGAAAACTTTCTCTTTTTTATTATTCATTTATTTTTTATTTTATATAATACTTTAATTTATATGCCACCTCATTAGAGCCAAAGCACTATTCTGGGTGATTTACAAACAGTTAAAGTAGAACTACAGCAAAATGCTAAACACTAAAATATCATATCAATAATAAAACAATGACTTTTGTCTTTTTCCCTCCACTGGCTATTTCCTGACATTTTCAGTCATGGATAAAGAAACACAATATCCCACATTCATAATCTAGAGGTTTTTTGAAGAACTAAATATACAGTTTACAGCTCCTCTTTCAGATGGTTCAGATAGACCTTGGATACTTCCCTGTCTCCTGATAAACCAAAAATACCCCTCTCCTTGGAAATGTCAGCATTCCTAGCACCAACATCCACCCCGTCAGCCTTCCTGGCACCTCCAAAATGGATCCAATTGGACTCCTAACAATAATGCCATAATTCACACTTCAACATTGTGTGGCATTTTAGATCTTCTTCACAATAACCTTTTGGGGTAGGTCAGGCTGAGAGACTGTGGCCACCCAAAGTCATCCAATGAGCACATTGGTCAAGTATGGACTTGAACCACCTTCTCGCAAATCCTAATCCAGCACTCTAACCGCTTCAACTCACTGTCTCCTAGGAAGGAATACAATCTCAAGACAATGCCCAACATAAAAATTTGGTTAGGACTCGTAATTCATCTGGTTTCAAGTGTTCTCCAACAATAAGCATTACTGCTGGCCTAATTCAGACAATGTGACATTTGCTTGTTGATAATAAAAATATTGATCTCACTTTTCTGGTCTTCTTGTATCTTTACTGTTATTGCAGGTCACTTGGAGACTTCAAGGCTGAGAAAGAAGATGCTAACATCCTTCCCTTGGCCCTTCAAAATCTGACTATCATAAATACATACTGCAGTACATCTACAACTTCCAAACCTGTGTCAAGGAGGTTGCCATCCCTGACTCTAATCAAATATCTTTTGTAGTACAGAACACAAGGGCTACACAAAATGCCTGTAGATATGCAGATTGCAAATTAGAAGAATGTTGTGATGCCCCAAATCAAATTGGCTCAGTTAAACAACAACATAAGTCCTTAAAGAAATCGGCGTGCCTGACCACCTTATCCATCTCCTGAGAAACCTATATGTGGGACAGGAAGCAACAGTTAGAACTGGATATGGAACAACTGATTGGTTCAAAATTGGGAAAGGAGTACGACAAGGCTGTATATTGTCCCCCAG